AGGTATTCACATCTAATAATAGTTGAAATGACATAATATGTAGTGGCTTTTCATTTGCATATTACAATTGGGGAGATTTCAATGCATAACAACCATACTCGCAATTAACTTTTGCTCCGTCTGAGGGGGTGCAATTAGGGGTGAAATTAAAAAAAATTATAGAAGTCACAAATGGCATTGTGCACCTTATTTCTGCTTGGGATTTAATATTTAGTTTGCTGTGTTCTTCATCTCTGATACCATGCTGGAGTTTGTTGAGTTATCTAAGGGGGTGCAATAATAGTTGTTTCAAAATTGACAACAATTGCGTAATTGCGTTTTATGTGAAGACTTAAAGACAAGAGTGTGAAATTATTTTTTAATTCAGGAGTAATTTATTTTTTTTAGAGAAAACACATTTTTACTTTCCTATCTGTAAACAGATAAGGATAGGAATCATGATTTTTTTTTCGATCTCGAGTTTTAGACGGATATTTACGTTTTGGGGTCTCCTGAATCCGTTTTGACTATTTTCGCGATGATGTCAGTGTTCAAATAAAAAAAGTTTTAATTATCTATAATTTTTATCATATATATAATTTCTCTAAAATGGACCGTATTCGAGATATTTGGGAAAAAGTGTAAATTTCGATGTTTGAAGAAAACTCAAAACGTTAAATTTAAAACTTAAGTTTTATTTCGGTCTAATATGAAATGATTAGAATTTGGACAGAGTCGAAACATCTGGGGAGTACTTCATAGGGGGTTGTTTTTATATTTTATGGAATATATCTTTTATTTATGTTTGGAGAAAAAAATTGTTCAAATAAAAGTTTCATGGTTTCTCTACCACCTGACAAATATTGTTAAGACATCAAAAATCACTTGTATCGTTTCACCACCAAAAAAATAATAGTTTTAAACATAGAAATATGCACGTAACTCATTTAAAAAGAAATGTCACTTGAACCCTTTCAAATTAAAAATTTTCATAAAAATTTGATTTTTTTACATTTTGTCAAATTTCTCGAATACGGACCATTTTAGGAAAATTTTGTGTCAAACAAAAATTATAGAGAATGATATTAAAAGTAACTTTTATTTAAAGAATTTTCTTCTTCAAACGTAAATAGCAGATATATTTCATAAAATATAAAAACGACCTCCTATAAAGTATCCCACCATATGTTCCGACTCTGCCCAAAATTTAATCAGTTCACAACAGGCCGGAATAAAGCTTCTGTTGGTCTAATTTTTTTTGTCAATTTTAAGTAATGAAAATTTTTTTGGTCCAAATTTAATCAGTTCACAACAGGCCGGAATAAAGCTTCTTTGGGTCTAATTTTTTTTGTCAATTTTAAGTAATGAAATTTTTTTTGGTCCAAATTTTTTTTGGTCCAAATTTTTTTTGGTAATTTTTTTTTGATCATTTTTTTTTTTATTTGCAGTCTTCCTTTTTTCGATCATTTTTTGCTCAAAATTTGTTTTGGCACATTTTCTTTTGCATTTTTTTTTGCAAATTTTTTTTATCGGCAAAATTTTTTTTGTCAAATTTTTTTAGTCCAAATTTTTTTTGATCAATTTTTTTTCTTTTTAGTATTCCTTTTTTCGATCAAAATTTTATTCAAATTTTTTTTGACAATTTTTTTAACATTTTTTTTATTGACAAAATTTTTTTTGATAAATTTTTTTAATCAAATTTTTTTGGTCCAAATTTTTTTTGGTCCAAATTTTTTTTGATCAATTTTTTTTATTTGCAGTCTTCCTTTTTTCGATCATTTTTTGCTCAAAATTTGTTTTGGCACATTTTTTTTGCAAATTTTTTTTATCGGCAAAATTTTTTTTGTCAAATTTTTTTAGTCCAAATTTTTTTTGATCAATTTTTTTTTATAGTATTCCTTTTTTCGATCAAAATTTTATTCAAATTTTTTTTGACAATTTTTTTAACATTTTTTTTATTGACAAAATTTTTTTTGATAAATTTTTTTAATCAAATTTTTTTGGTCCAAATTTTTTTTGGTCCAAATTTTTTTTGATCAATTTTTTTTCTTTTTGCAGTCTTCCTTTTTTCGAACAAAATTTTTTTTGCTCAAAATTTTTTTTATCAACAAAATGTTTTTTTGACAAATTTTTAATCAATTTTTTTTTGGTCCTAATTTTTTTGGTCAAAATTTTTTTTGCAAGTTCCTTTTTTTTTCGATCAAAATTTTTGACATTTTTATTTTGCATTTTTTTTGTCAATTTTTTTTCTTTTTGCAGTCTTCCTTTTTTCAGTTAATTTTTTTTGCTCAAAATTTTATTTGGCCTTTTTTTGCAAATTTTTTTGGCAATTTTTTTTTGACATTTTTTTTTGCATTTTTTGTGCAAATATTTTTTTGGTAATTTTTTTGTAGTTTCCTTTTTCAATCAAAATTTTTTTTGGCAAATTTCAATTTGGAAATTTTTTTGCAATTTTTTTATCGGTTATTTTTTTTGCAATTTCTATCGGTAAAATTTTTTTTTGTCAATTCTTTTTGGTCCAAATTTTTTTTAGTCAATTTTTTTAACCAATTTTTTTTTGGTTCAAATTTTTTTCTTTTTGCAAGTTTCCTTTTTTCGATCAACATTTTTTTTGGCAATTTTTTTTGTACTTTTTGGAATTTTTTTTTTGCAAAATTTTTTATCTGCAAAATTTTTTTAAACGTAAATAACAGATATATTCTATAAAATATAAAAATGACCCCCTATAAAGTGTCCCACCATATGTTCCGATTCTGCCCAAAATCTAATCAGTTCACCGAATGTTTTTCCCTTTATCCGTTTTTGAGTTTTCTTCAAAAATCGAAATTTACTTTTTCTCAAATATCTCGAATACGGTCCATTTTAGAGAAATTATGTAAGGGACAAAAATTATAGAGAATTATATTACAAACAATTTTTATTTGAATAATTTTCATAAAAATTTGATTTTTTTACATTTTGTCAAATTTCTCGAATACGGACCATTTGAGGAAAATTTTGCATAGAACAAAAATTATAAAGAATAATATTAAAAGTAACTTTTATTTGAAGAATTTTCTTATCCAAACATTAATAACAGATATATTCCATATAATATAAAAACGACCCCCATAAAGTACCCCCCATATGTTCCGACTCTGCCCAAAATATAATCAGTTCACCTCAGGCCGGAATAAAGCTTAGGTTTAAAATTTAATGTTTTTCCCTTTATTCGTTTTTGAATTTTCTTCAAAATTCGAAATTTACACATTTTTTCAAATATCTTGAATACGGTCCATTTTAGAGAAATTATGTATGAGACAAGAATTATATAGAATAATATTACAAATAACTTTTATTTGAACAATTTTCTTAAAAATTTAATTTTTTTATATTTTGTCCAATTTCTCGAGTACGGACCATTTTAGGAAAATTTTGTATAAAACAAAGATTATAGAGAATAATATTAGAAGTAACTTTTATTCAAATAATTTTCTTCTTCATACGTTAATAACAGATATATTCCATATAATATAAAAACGACCCCCATAAAGTACCCCCCATATGTTCCGACTCTGTCCAAAATCTAATCAGTTCACCTCAGGCCGGAATAAAGCTTAGGTTTAAAATTTAATGTTTTTCCCTTTATTCGTTTTTGAATTTTCTTCAAAATTCGAAATTTACACATTTTCTCAAATATCTTGAATACGGTCCATTTTAGAGAAATTATGGATGGGACAAGAATTATAAAGAATAATATCACAAACAACTTTTATTTGAACAATTTTCATAAAAAATTAATTTTTTTACATTTTATTAAATTTCTCGAATACGGACCATTTGAGGAAAATTTTGTATAGAACAAATATTATAGAAAACAATACAAGAAGCAACTTTTATTTGAAGAATTTTCTTCTCCAAACTTTAATAATAGATATATTTCATAAAATATAAAAACGACCCCCTATAAAGTACCCTCCAGATGTTCCGACTCTGCTCAAAATATTACCAGTTCACAACAGGCCGGAATAAAACTTAAGTTTAAAATTTGATGTTTTTTCCTTTATCCGTTTTTGAGTTTTCTTCAAAATTCGAAATATACACATTTTCTCAAATATCTCGAATACGGTCCACTTAAAATTCGCTCTTTTTCTTTGTATCCGTTCGTGAGTTATCCACGATACAGACACACACAGACATCATCGCGAAAATAGTCAAAACGGATTCAGAGGAACCCAAAACGTAAAAATCCGTCGAAAACTCGAGGTCGAAAAAAAAATCATGATTCCTATCCAGGAATGGAAAAAACCTAAGAATTCAAAAATATATAAGTAGGTTTTTAGGTTATTTATAGGTTTTGAATTCATAATATATCAAAAATAAGGGCGCTAAGTAGGTATATTGTACCTTATAAAAACATAACAAATTACAGTAAGTATACCTAGGTATTTACACAGAAATTTTTTTAAAAATTGATTTAAAAAAACGTACCTACCTTTTAAAATTTAACAATAATAATAATTCACACTTTTCTAGCTTCATTAAAATTCTACCAACTAACTATAAAGTGAGAATAACTACCTAGATACCTACAAACGAAAATTATTATACAGATAGAAATTAAAAGATAAACAATAACTGTTTCTTAAGTATACCTTTTATAAAATATATCATATTAGTTTGCATTAAATACACATTAACATTGTATGTGCACTTTAGTTCCTCACTAGCAAGCATTATGAAGTTATTATCCTTAACTACCCATCAATTAGTAACCAATTATGTACCATAACGTTATTAAACGCATAATGATTATGTTTATCAACCATTACCATCAACGAAAATTTACATCGCATTGTAAAGCGTTATCCTTTTGACACTTATACACTAAGTGTTGTTTACACACTCGAAAAACATAACCTAAGTGATAAATAATATTGTGGTGTTAAAAAGAACAAAAAAAACTATTCGAAGGGCAAATCATTTAACACTTCAAAACTACATCCTATTTATAAACAGACAGTATCGAAATAATTACTTACATATTCTCAATTTCTTCAAAATACTTCGTAATACATTTCCGTAGATTTTCCGAAAATTTTCTCACATCGCACCAAATAATTTTATTAAATCCCGGTGAAGTTAACCATAAAAATTAACCAACATAAAAAAAAACTAATATTAAATCCACTATAAACAATTGTAATTTCACAATAAACACTTTTATGCTAAATACCATGTGACTATAAATATTTTTTAATAAAATTTCTACTGTTTACATGTCACTCTTCCAGTAACAAATGAGTTTCTGTCTAGACAACAAGACGTATGTCAATATTCGTCAAAATCAAAATGGCTACGCCTTTAATTTGTTAGCAAAGACGAACGTCCTCATCCATCTCTATCACCGACGTTTACGACTTAGCTACAAATCTTTAGTATCGTATTTCTGTACTAGTTTATATCAAAACACGCCCAATACTTAATAGCTTGGTTGTAATTCAAATTATACCGCCAAGAATGGGGTTTAAAATTAAATTGCTAACATATTTATCGAAAAATATATTATTTATATAAGAATAGCGATCTAAATCATCATAATATAAAATTATTTAACACCTTTTTTATAATATTACGAGCATGCGCTATTCAATTAAAGTTTTTTTAATCTTATTTTCTAAACGCATTGCTACAAACTACGAAACATCTTGATATAACTCATTTATATTATTTACCCAGTGGCATAATATTTATAATAAATATAAGATTATATTGTTAAATTTGATTAAATTAGTTTTGGATGAAAAAAATTAGCTCCGCCTTCTTTTCTATTTGAAATACCGCATTTACAGCACGTGCTGCCATCTATATTAGAAAATTGTGGTAATAAAAGATTATAAAAGAAATCTGTATGGTCATTCTTCTTTTTTAAAACGGCCTGTAAATCTACCGCTTCATAGACAGAAATTAACAGTTTGCAGTGAAGTTGGCCTGGGTGGACGCGATACATTGGCGTACAGAATTATTTTATAGATGTTAATAATCATTTCGGGTAAATATACAGGGTGGACTGGATTTAATTTGCGTATACACTATACAGAGATCTCGTAAACCGTAAGATATACATTGTCGGTTAAATCTACATTGTTGTCTTTATTTTATCACTGTTTTCAAACTAATTAATCTACAATCTTTAAAATTTGAACAAATATTATTAAAAACTATAGAAATCTATTTTTTGAAGACCATATTTTGAAATTTTAACTAGTTTTGAAGTTACAAGGTGTCAAAGTTAAATTTGGATTTTTTACCAAATTCTACATTGTTGACTTTATTTTATCACTGTTTCCAAACTAATTAATCTACAATCTTTAAAATTTAAACATATATTAAGAAGAACTATAGAAATCTATTTTTGAAAACCACATTCTAAAATTTTAACTAATTTTGAAGTTACAAGGTGTCAAAATTAAACTTTGATTTTTTACCAAATCTACATTGTTGTCTATATTTTATCACTGTTTCCAAACTAATTAATCTACAATCTTTAAAATTTAAACAAATATTAAGAAAAACTATAGAAATCTATTTTTAAAGACCATATTTTAAAATTTTAACTACTTTTGAAGTAACAAGGTGTCAAAGTTAAACTTGAATTTTTTACTACATCTACATTGTTGTCTTTATTTTATCACTGATTCCAAACTAATTAATCTACAATCTTTAAAATTTGAACAAATATTAAGAAAAACTTTAGAAATCTATTTTTGAAAACAACATTCTGAAATTTTAACTAGTTTTATAGTTACAAGGTGTCAAAGTTAAACTTTGATTTTTTACCAAATTTACATTGTTGTCTTTATTGTATCACTGTTTCCAAACTAAATAATCTACAATCTTTAAAATTTAAACGAATATTAAGAAAAACTATAGAAATCTATTTTTAAAGACCATATTTTAAAATTTTAACTAGTTTTGAAGTCACAAGGTGTCAAAGTTAAACATAAATTTTTTACTAAATCTGCATTGTTGTATTTATTTTATCACTGTTTCCAAACTAATTAATCTACAATCTTTCAAATTTGAAAAAATATTAACAAAAACTATAGAAATATATTTTTGAAGACCACATTTTAACATTTTAACTAGTTTTAAAGTTACAAAGTGTCAAAGTTAAATTTGGATTTTTTACCAAATCTACATTGTTGTCTATATTTTATCACTGTTTCCAAACTAATTAATCTACAATCTTTAAAATTTAAACAAATATTAAAAAAAACTATAGAAATCTATTTTTGAAAACCACATTCTGAAATTTTAATTAGTTTTGAAGTTACAAGGTGTCAAAGTTAAACTTTGATTTTTTACCAAATCTACATTGTTGTATATATTTTATTACTGTTTCCAAACTAATTAATGTACAATCTTTAAAATTTGAACAAATATTAAGAAAAACTATAGAAATCTATTTTTCAAAACCACATTCTGAAATTTGAACTAGTTTTGAAGTTACAAGGTGTCAAAGTTAAACTTTGATTTTTTACCAAATCTACATTGTTGTCTATATTTTATCACTATTTCTAAACTAATTAATCTGCAATCTTTAAAATTTGAACAAATATTAAGAAAAACTATAGAAATCTATTTTTGAAAACCATATTTTGAAATTTTAACTGATTTTGAAGTTACAAGGTGTCAAAGTTAAACTTTGATTTTTTACCAAATCTACATTGTTGACTTTATTTTATCACTGTTTCCAAACTATTTAATCTACAATTTTTAAAATTTGAACAAATATTAAGAAAAACTATAGAAATCTATTTTTGAAAACCATATTTTGAAATTTTAACTAGTTTTGAAGTTACAAGGTGTCAAAGTTAAACATGAATTTTTTACTACATCTACATTGTTGTCTTTATTTTGTCACTGTTACCAAACTAATCATTTTACAATCTTTAAAATTTACAAAAATGTTAACAAAAGCTATAGAAATCTATTTTTGAAGACCACATTTTGAAATTTCAACTAGTATTGAAGTTACAAGGTGTCAAAGTTAAATTTGGATTTTTTACTAAATCCACAGTGTTGTCTTTATTTTATCACTGTTTCCAAATTAATTAACCTACAATCTTTAAAATTTGATCTAATATTAAAAAAAACTATAGAATTTTATTTTTGAAGACCATATTTTGAAATTTCAACTAGTTTTAAAGTTACAAGGTGTCAAAGTTAAATTTTGATTTTTTACTAAATCTACATTGTTGTCTATATTTTATCACTGTTTCCAAACTAATTAATCTACAATCTTTAAAATTTAAACAAATATTAAGAAAAACTATAGAAATCTATTTTTGAAAACCACATTCTGAAATTTTAACTAGTTTTGAAGTTACAAGGTGTCAAAGTTAAACTTTGATTTTTACCAAATCTACATTGTTCTCTAAATTTTATCACTGTTTCCAAACTAATTAATCTACAATCTTTAAAATTTGAACAGATATTAAGAAAAACAATAGAAATCTATTTTTGAAAACCATATTTTGAAATTTTTACTAGTTTTAAAGTTACAAGGTGTCAAAGTTAAACTTGAATTTTTTACTACATCTACATTGTTGTCTTTATTTTGTCACTGTTACCAAACTAATTAACCTACAATCTTAAAAATTTGAAATAATATTAAGAAAAACTATAGAATTTTATTTTTGAAGACCATATTTTGAAATTTCAACTAGTTTTGAAGTTACAAGGTGTCAAAGTTAAATTTGGATTTTTTACTAAATCTACAGTGTTGTCTTTATTTTATCAGTGTTTCCAAACTAATTAACCTACAATCTTTAAAATTTGAAATAATATTAAGAAAAACTATAGAATTTTATTTTTGAAGACCACATTTTGAAATTTCAATTAGTTTTAAAGTTACAATGTGTCAAAATTAAACTTAGATTATTTACTAAATCTACAGTGTTGTCTTTATTTTAACACTGTTTCCAAACTAATTAATCTACAATCTTTAAAATTTAAACAAATATTAAGAAAAACTATAGAAATCTATTTTTGAACACCACATTCTGAAATTTTAACTAGTTTTGAAGTTACAAGGTGTCAAAGTTAAATTTTGATTTTTTACCAAATCTACATTGTTGTCTATATTTGATCACCGTTTCCAAACTAATTAATCTACAATCTTTAAAATTTGAACAAATATTATTAAAAGCTATAGAAATCCATTTTTGAAGACCGTATTTTGAAATTTTAACTAGTTTTATAGTTACAAGGTGTCAAAGTTAAACTTTGATTTTTTACCAAATCTACATTGTTGTCTTTATTTTATCACTATTTTCAAACTAATTAATTTACAATCTTTAAAATTTGAACAAATATTAAGAAAAACTATAGAAATCTATTTTTGAAAACCACATTCTGAAATTTTAACTAGTTTTGAAGTTACAAGGTGTCAAAGTTAAACTTTGATTTTTACCAAATCTACATTGTTCTCTAAATTTTATCACTGTTTCCAAACTAATTAATCTACAATCTTTAAAATTTGAACAGATATTAAGAAAAATAATAGAAATCTATTTTTGAAAACCATATTTTGAAATTTTTACTAGTTTTAAAGTTACAAGGTGTCAAAGTTAAACTTGAATTTTTTACTACATCTACATTGTTGTCTTTATTTTGTCACTGTTACCAAACTAATTAACCTACAATCTTTAAAATTTGAAATAATATTAAGAAAAACTATAGAATTTTATTTTTGAAGACCATATTTTGAAATTTCAACTAGTTTTGAAGTTACAAGGTGTCAAAGTTAAATTTGGATTTTTTACTAAATCTACAGTGTTGTCTTTATTTTATCAGTGTTTCCAAACTAATTAACCTACAATCTTTAAAATTTGAAATAATATTAAGAAAAACTATAGAATTTTATTTTTGAAGACCACATTTTGAAATTTCAATTAGTTTTAAAGTTACAAGGTGTCAAAATTAAACTTAGATTATTTACTAAATCTACAGTGTTGTCTTTATTTTAACACTGTTTCCAAACTAATTAATCTACAATCTTTAAAATTTAAACAAATATTAAGAAAAACTATAGAAATCTATTTTTGAACACCACATTCTGAAATTTTAACTAGTTTTGAAGTTACAAGGTGTCAAAGTTAAATTTTGATTTTTTACCAAATCTACATTGTTGTCTATATTTTATCACTGTTTCCAAAATAAATAATCTACAATCTTTAAAATTTGAACAAATATTAAGAAAAACTATAGAAATCTATTTTTGAAGACCATATTTTAAAATTTTGACTAGTTTTGAAGTTA